AGCCACTGGGCAAGAAAATGTCCCTGCCTTAACTGCTGACATTATGCTGTCCTAATTAAACAAGGACACAAAATATTCTGATTCACAGAAAAGTCTGTTGAAAATGCTAAGCCTGTAGGCCAAAGATGGATGCCCCAACATTGCAGAGGAACTTTGGTGAAAGTCCAGGCAGCGAGCTGTTTCTGTCATTACTCACATTTTTTGGAAGTCGCTTGTTTGCACTTCTTGCTTACTGAGTTAATATTATTTCCTTCTTGGGTCTTTAAGGGAGTTAAAGATTAGACAGCTATAGTTAATAGCTTACCAGACACAGAAAGCAAGTTATGATAGAAAGTAAATTAGGTATAAGACTTTGGACTTACCAAGATGGAACAGATACAAAATATTTTCTCTGAATTTGTCAAATGCAAATGGACTAGACATTGTTGATGTATTTATTGTCTATATAGAGTACATAGTCATTGTACTTACTGTATATAGTTTTCTGATATTAGTTATATTCTTTTTTATTTTAGACAAAAAGGGGGAATGTACTGGTATTTCAGTTGTATTTTAATAAATAAAGACTGCTTAAAGATCTGAGAATAAAACAGTCCTACTGGATAGCCTTCCAGACCAGGTTATGGTAACACATAACTTTAATCCTAGTAGCCACAATGACATGCACACCTTTAATCCCAGTAGCCACACTAGTTGTCATAGTAATTCGTTGATGCACGCTTTTAATCCCAGTCATGCATGCCTTTAATCCCAGCCCTAGAGAAGATTATAAAATGGGAGGAGACAGCTCTTAACACGCAGTCTTATTCTGAGATTCCTGGAGGCAAGGTCAAGGTGAGAGCTAGTGGATGGTTGTTTTGCTTTTCAGATCTTCAGGTTGAATCCCAATTTCTGACCCTTAGTTTTTATTAATTGTGTTTCAAAGGAGGAAGGAAGAAAACTATGGCAATATAATAGTATCTTTAATGGTCTGTGTGATGAAAAAAGTTTATGAGCATGAATAATTGGGAGGTGGGTTAAAAAAAGCAAATCAAACAAACTTACAGAGTTTCAGTCACTTACAGTGATATAATTTTGGAGAATGGGTGGTTAAATAAAAGCTAAGAGTGTTGGTAAAAGACATTTAATAACAGAAATGACAAATGACAAAATTCACATTCATGCATGTGTTATATTCATGAGTCATTAGAAAGGAGCGTTGGAGGAGAGAATGGCAGTGAGGCAGAAAAAACAGTGGCAGAAATAGCGAGGAGCCTGGGTGGATAAGGAAAATGTTGTAAGGGAGAGGGCCCACTTGCCTGTCCCAGCCACCTGGCTAGTTTACACATGAAATAATCACACAGAAACTGTATTCCTTCTCCTTTTAATTGGAACTCCAACGTGGTCAACTATATCCACGTAAAGCCTGAGAAAGCTTAAAAAGGAATTCTAGAAAAACAACAACAACAACAAAACAAAAACAGAAAACGAGTTTGACACAGGATTTTGCTGTGGTACCATATTACCCCTACTAATGGCACAATTTAAGGTTTTAAGAAGCGCTTAGCGTTTTAAGAAGTGCTCCTGGACAGTAAAGAATTACAGATTCGCAATAGGACTGATTTAGACATAAAAGACCTTTAAATGGGTCACAGTATTCGATAAATGTACACAACCTCGGGAGAAGGAAGAAAAAGAGTATAGAGAGTCATAAAATAATGTTTAAAAAGGGAGTCAAGTCTTTAAAGGGACAGATTATAGACATTCATAGATAAAAAGGAGTAAAAAAATAAGCCACATAAAAATGGAAAATTCACAGAGAATCTGGATTATGTATATTTTGTTATCTTTGAATATTTCAACTGTGAAGGAACTAAGTACAGAGATATTTCATTGTATGGGCTGCTTAGCTAAACCAGCATGTATATTATAAAGGTATCTTGACTTCAGAATTTGGGTCTAAGAACATGTTTCTTGGGAAAAGAGGTTCTTCTTGTGTTTTCACAGAGGAAGAGAAAATGTGGATTGCCTACAGGCAAATATGGTTTCATAGACCAAGGCCTCCTGAAAGGTTGTCATAAACACCCTCAAAAAATTTCTTCACCCAATTGCTGACTGAGATGAACCTGGCACACAGGATACAGCACGAAAGACCAGATTAACAGTGCACCCATACAGCAAGAAGCAGTTTGGAGAGAAAAAACTATGCCCATATTCCCAAATATTGTTTATAAATGTTCTTTTGCATTTAAAGGGGATATGATATAGATATAAATAATTTGCATCGGTATGGATCTTGGTTTATTGATACAAATTTAAGATCAATCTTATTATATGTATATTTCTGCTCTTGATTTAAGTGTTGTAATTGTGTAGTTCACTTAAAAGATGTAATGTATAATTGAGAAATATAGGCTAATGGATAATCATCTATAATAGTCAAGCTTGTAATCATGTTAGTTAGATTTTCTAGATGTATAGAGATATATTTCAGTTAGGTATTCTTCAAACCTTTCAGAGACCTTCAGAATATGGCATTTAAAACCTTTAAGAACTTAGAACTTTTCATGACAGTGAGAAGCACCAAGCTACTTTGAGAGGAACATGGGCATTGAAGAGGCTTCTTAGCCATTTGGGCAAGAAACTGCTCTTGCCTGGACTGCTTCATTGGACATGCATGACATGCAGAGAAATGATTGCTGAACTTGCCTAAAGGTGAGATGATATTTCACCTAATGAATGTCTGTGAGACATTCTGCAGGATACAGAAGTGACTGAACTGTCTTTGAATTTTCCTGCTTCATGAAAAGGTCTGCTAGATATTATGGGCCTGTGGGCTAAAGATGGATGTCCTAATGGTACAGAAGAACTTTAGGAGTACTTAAAATGTACTTCCTGTTTACTTAGGTAATATTATATCCTTCTAGAGTCTTTGATGGAACTGAAAAATAAATAGTAATAATATAGCTTTACTTAGTTATGGTAAAAGATAAAGTAGATATAAATATTGTAACTATAATTCTTGTTTGCTACCTGTTTTGTTATATGCAATTTTACTATGTTAAAGTTAAAGCCTTCCTTTTTGTTTAAACAGAAATGGGGAAATGTTATAGGAAGTCCTTCTTTCTATATGCTGCTTGTATTGGTTAGTGAATAAAGAAACTGCCTTGGCCTGACAGGGGCAGAACTTAAGTAGGTGGAAAAAATGGAACTGAATTCTGGGAGGAAGAAAGCAGAGTCAGAGAAGCCATGGATTCTCTGCCTGAGACAGACGCCAGTTAGAATCTTGCTGGTAAACCACCGCCACATGGCAAAATACAAATTAATAGAATTGGGTTAAATCAAGATGTGAGAGTTAGTTAATAAGAGGCCAGAACTAATGGGCCAAGCAGTAATTTAATTAATACAGTTTCTGTATGGTTATTTTGGGGGCTATCCAAGGCAGGTGGCCAGGACAAACAAGTGGGCCCACTCCCTCACAACAGGAAATAAAGTCAATTTTCTGAGATTCACAACTCGGAAATTTTAGGAAGAAAAGAGGAAGAAGAAAGTCAACAAGTCTCTCAGCTTGTACTGTCCCTATTGGAAAAGAAGATGATCATGAGAAGCAGAGATCCTCAAGAAAGGGTCGGGTGTGAAGGGATCATCCATAGAAAATATAAAAAGATAAAAAGATGACTTTTGTCTATGGATCTCAGAGGCATTAGTAGATGGTTCCTCAGACAGGGTAGAAAGATGCAAAGCTAAGTAAGTTCAGGTTCTGGGGATGACACTCCATTTTCAAGTTATTACCTGTGTAATGTTTCAGCATTTAAATAAATACCTGCACATATATGTCTACAATATTTCAACACATATAAATCCTTATACATGGAGATCAAGTCTCTTATTCATCATTTCAAATATGGAGCACTCATCAAAGCCTAACAGCATTCTGAGCACCTGGGGATGGGACAAGGAATAAGACAACATACTTGGTGTTGTGAACCTACCTTGCCGTCTTAGAGGCATTAAAGCAAAAATAATAAACTCAGGAAGCAATTAGTGGTAGAACCAGGATTAGAGCTCAACACAAAAGCTATCTTTTTATTATATCAAATATATACACATTTTGAAGATGAAAACTGAATATTAGAAGGAGATAGTAGATCAACGGTTCTTTTTTAAATTTATTTACTGATTCTGACTTTTATTTCCCTGAATGAATCATTAAAATTTAATCAAGAACCAGAAAGACATTTCACTGGACATTATCAGAATCACTAAAAGAGAGTAAAAGGCTGTGGAATTGAGCAGGACAGAAACCTCTGTCAACAGTTCACCCTGTAAGGCATTAGTTCTACAGCTAGAGAAAAGCCAGCTAAAGCCCAAGGAAAATTATGTTACTTCCCTGAAACCAAAAGCAGATAGATGACATTATTAGGATAATAGTTATGAATAGAAAACTCACAAGAGGACTAGAACCTGATTAACACTAGAACCTGATTAATATATGTGTGTGTATATACATGTGTGTGTGTGTGTGTGTGTGTGCTTATGAGTATGTAGATCAGTGGTTCTTAACCTATGGTTTCTAACCTTTTGGAAGTCACATATCAGCTATCCTGTGTATCAGATAATTACATTATGATTCATAACAGTAGCAAATATCAGTTATGAAGCAGCAATGTAATAGTTTTATGGTTGTGGATCACCACAACATGAGGGACTTTATTAAAGGATTGCAGCATTAGGAAGGTTGAGAACCACTGTACAGATTCAGAGATAAAACCTCTATTTGTGGGGTCACACTTAATATCTAAAGCAAGGTGCATGAAATTGATGTCAGTCACATAGAAGAAAGAGAAGTGGGAGAATAAGGGAGGGGAAGGGAGGAAGAAAGAAGTTAACTCAGTTATCAAGTCCAAAATATTCAGGAAGTAAATGTTAACTGATAAACGCTGCATCCTCAGTAGATTCTCAGTCAGTTCTGTCTTAGAATATTCATCTTTCTTTTCTGCTTCTCCCAGATAAGCACTTACTGCCTTTAGCTCTGCATCTTTCTTCACATCTTCCACATAAGAAAGGACAAAGTCGATCTGCCTAACTCCATCATTGAAGAAGATTGAATCTTTGCTTTGTTCGCTTCTTTGAAACTGTAGAAGACATAATTAACATGATTTTACATTATTGTGTAATTTCAGAAGGCAAAAACTTGAAGAAAAATCATTGCAACTTGGCCACCACTTTATTTTTTTTCCATACTCAACACAGCAAGCAAACCAAAACATGACAGAAATTAGATTCCTTTTTTAACATAAAATTTCACAGAGAGGCTTAAATGATACATACTCAAGACAGGCTGAAATGTTTTAAGTTCATGCAAAGCACATTAACCACATGCTTTCACAAAAATGCTGCAAGTAGACCAAAATATAAGATGAATATACTCATACACAGACAGCAAAATACATACTCAGACAGAAATGTGTGGTTTTAATTGAACACCACACCAACTAGTCTACTAAGTCTGGCATTATTACACATTTCTTTCAGGGCGCAGTCAAAAACCAAGGTGCAGTTAAGAATCAGAAGCAGGGAGTGGGCAAGCAGCATCACCATGGCTAAGTCCTACAGATGTCTGTCATCAGTGTCTTAAGTGAGCCACAACCCATCTTTCTTTATGATTTTATGAATTTTCTCAAATAATCAAAATTACATGTTCACCTTTTACATGACGTGCAGCTCATGAATTCCTTCCCTTTTGTGATAGCAAAAGAAAACAACAAACAAAAACAGCACTGAGCATTTCAGGGGAAAAAAAGATTTCACATTTGATTTTCTTCCTCACCATTCATGGGAAAGGTACAATACTATGTACTTTTGAGCGACAGTCCCTTGTGAGAGGCTCAGCATCATGCAAAGGTTGGTAGGAGGTCTCCCAGTTGCTTACTGGAACTGGTAAATGAGAGCTAGATCCCTTGATTTTTTTTTTTTTAGCAGGTATATCTGCTAACTCCTGAGCACCTTCTACAGGCCTTGTGCTGGTCCACACTTTTCAGCTCAGCTGAGATTTCTCATAAAAGGGCCAGAAATCTTGGGCTTGATCTGAGGTCTGTGAACACAGTAATTCTATTTGCCTATGGGTCACTGGTGCCTGTGGTGGAGGAAGAAGAGGCACTTAAGGCTTATGAGGATAAAAGTGGTGAAACTAAACACAAAAATATCTAAGGAGAATAGACAAAGTATCAGAAAAAATTTAATTCAAAGGCTTGACTTGTCTGCCTGTCTCTAGAAGAAGACCCAGAGCCCCTCCCCTTTCATAAAGGAAAGGAAAACCTGAGGGGGAAAAGCTCCTCTACCTCAAGTGAGTTTTAAAAAGGAGAAAAAGTAAATGAAACACTCACTGCTATTGTTGCACATCACTGCAAAATGAACGTATTTGATAAAGTTCGCCAAAATGTGTGGAAGCCAAGAGAGGCAAAGTTTAGTCCACATATAATCAAAGACAAACTCAGAAAGCAAAATAACATCCATCTTTCGTTTTGTGACAACCAGGATGTGCACAGTAGAACCTTGGGGAAATCATTCCTGTTTTTAGAAGAGTTTATAGTTCTCAGAAGGCTAGCCATAGGATTCCCTTAGGTCTGGAGTTACAGATGATTGTGAGCCATGATGGTTGCTGAGGTTCAACCCTGGACTTCTGCAAAAGCAGCCAGTTCTCGTAAACACGGAGTCTTTTCTCCAGCCCCAAGCCTTAAGATTCTTAAAAGAACTGATTAAGAGCTAAATGGAGCAGAAAAAAGTCCACTCAATTTTTTTTTTACAGACAAGTCGATGTCATTAAAATACATCATGCTTTTATTTTACTGAAAACATGACATGAAGAACACACTTTAGTATATATATTTGTGTGTATACTTGTCCTTAAAGATGCCCAGTTACTACAAAGCAATACACAGTTAGGATCTAGCTTCCTATCATTTATAATCCTGATGACTCCTGAGCCTTTGAAGTTATTTACACTGTGTGTGTGTGTGTTTGTACGTATGTTTTTAGGAAGTAGGCTCATCAAACAGAAAAGACTTGAGGATTACCATGATTAAATGCCAATTGCCTGATAACTGGGAATCAGTGATCAAGCCCCCCCCTCCCCCCGTGTGTACAGCATTCATGGAATTGAACTCAGTATTCAGAAAGCATCCAGGCTGTTACTGCAGACACTCAGGTACAGGCATCAGCAGCCATCACTGTTTTACCATCAGACGCCTCCTCAGGAACAAATTGAATCGCTTCTGAGGCTGTGGAGCAACCGTTGGAGAGTCAACACAAATCCTTTTGGGCTTCAACACACAGGCACCCATCAATAAAGCTGTGCTCTGTGGTGAACGGCTATGGCGAGACATTCCAGCCCTGGAGCAAGACTGCTGTTCCCTAAGATGAAGGGTTTACTTCCTGAAAGTACAGCCACCACCTACGTGGAAAGAGTTTATCATAGCTAACCCTGGCTTCACAGTATGGATGTCGGGCTGGAGCAGGTGTTGTTGTTGAGATGGTTCTGACTTAGCGAGACCTGCTCTGCCTTGACACCAGGCATGGGTAACTATAACAAGCTCCAGAATTAGTTATTCCAAATCATCATGACACCAAAACACTCCTAATGCCTGCATAGACGCTGCCCCTCAGAGAGCCTGTGTTCATGAGTTTCTCTCGCATCTTGCCCACCATTGCTGTGCTACAGGGAAGCTGGTAAACTCTCCATTTCTGGTGGTGACTGTTCGGCTGAATCCTTCCTCCCCTTAAGCATCATACACACCACAGAACTGTCAGTCCTACCCCTATTTCTTAAAAAGAACACTAAAGGTACAGGTCATTAATGAAAAAAGAAGAGAAACATAAATTTAAAAAAAATACATTCATTTTAGAAAAATAGCCCAGTGATACTCCAGCTACAAGCCAGGCTTCTTTCCTCCTCACTGTCCTATATTTGAATTCAAGAGTGTCTTATTACTTGATTTTCCCCTTCTGGGTTCCGGAAACAGTCCATTTCTCTCTGTTCCCTGGTCTTATGGGCTGCACTGGGTCCGTGGTTGCTATACCTGTGTATGTTGGGAATCTCCTGCACTACGACAATCTGTACAACTGCTCCTCAAAGCATCCTACTTTGAACACGTCTAAAAAGATCTTGTCTGACACAGATGCACTTCATGCTGACTGGTTGTAAAGAGAACAAAAGTTCTCTGGAGCAGTGATTCATTCTCAGATTGAGGCTAGAAATGTACAAGATGAATCTGCAGTATCTTGTAGTATCAAAAATGAAGAAAAAAACAAAGAATAAAACAGAACACAATCATGGAGTGTGTCCAAGTTATACCAATTTCACTAAAATGCTCTCTAATGCAATGAAATAAAATATTATTGAGCTTATAACACAAGATATAAAATAAATATCTATGATGTGATGCTGATGGAGGAAGGAGGGGGGAAGGAAAGGCCACAGAAGAAGTCCAGTGAAAGGAAATGTGATTTAATGGTAGAATGTTTGTCTAGATGGTCCTGGGTTCAAGTTTTGGCACTATTAGTGACAGCGAAAGAAAAAGCAACCAAACAGTTATTATTATCATCTACTTTTAAGATAAAGCACAACCCTTAACACTCATGTGCATACTGACACAGAGACTAGCGTGGTACATAAGAAGAGAAACATACAGAAACATAGTAGTGAAGAAACTTGAGCAAACCAACTTTAAGCCAAATAATCAAGGCTAAAATGTCCCAGTGTGCCCAGGACGTGATGCAAAGCTGATGAGACTTTTTACTTTCTCCACCTCCAGTTTGAATCATGAGAAACACATTAGGAATGCTCCAGCTGAGGTGCGCTCTACAAAGTAAAAGGACATCATCAACCGTGGAGGTTACTAGGTGCAAGGAAGTACTTAAAGTTGTCTCAACCAGAAGGTGCAGAGGAGACAGAGCTACTAAGCACAAGTAAGGACCCTCAAAGACAATGCCAGGGGAAACGGAGGACACCTGAACTCCATTTCCCGTCTTCCCAAAGAGCATACTTATTTACTCAGCAAACTTAATCAAATTTTAAGTTCAATAACTTCTGAGTTGGATCTAAGTTTAATTGTTGAAGTTTAAATTATGATTACTCTTAGGCATTAATTTATAGCTAAGCATACTGTAGTGGAGTAAGAAGGTTGAGGGTTCAATTCCAAGACCTGCCCCATAAACACAGAGTGGTTTTCACAAAGTTTCTGCAACAGCCAAACTTATTAAAAGTGTATACTAATGTTCCCTATGTGCCGCTATTCTTACCATGTCCGCTATAATCTTTTTCTTAAAAAATAATTTTCTGAAAGTCATACATTCTCAGACAGCACACATAAGGACCTGAGATCGGCATCCTAGTATGCCCAGGTCAGACACAGAAGGACATCTATGTCTGCCCACCCAAGAAAGGAACCACAGGCCGTTGCTTACCAATGGCTGTGGCTCATCACTGATGAGGAAGCTGGTATCCCTGGAGACCAGGCTCTGTTAATAGCAAAAAGGGAGGGAGGGAGGGAGGGAGGGAGGGAGGGAGGGAGAGATACAGAGTTGTAAGAATGGCCTGAGTAAAAAACCGTAACATTTAAGTTTCCAAAGCAAGAACAGTGAGGTTCTCTCTGCAGAAATACCACACCCTGAAACCTGAACTCGATTTCTCCATCTGAAACGGTATATGAAGTTGCAAGTATGTGTGCATACATGTCCGTGTGTGTATGTATCTGTACACATATCTGTGTAAGGTTGGAAAGAAAAAGAGATGGAAAGAACGGAGGAAGGAAAAGAAATATTGTAGAGGAAGCTCTACTAAGTCCTCAGACAATTTGCAACAGGTGAAAGGCTTAAAACCTTCCACCCCACAGTAAAATAACCAGAAGCTGTGGAATTTTTAGGATTCTGAGCAGGACCAACAGGGAACATGCATCACCGACTGGATGTTTCATGTTTCTTGCCATTGGTTTGAAGTTATTGAAAATTTGTAGCTTTGAAGAGGACACATCATGCTTTAAAACAGTGTACAATGCAAGACAAATCCCTGTGCATATATGACACACTCAAGCCACATGCAACCGAAGTGTGTCTGTTTTCTTGGACATGGGTTTCCAATTCACCTGTTACTCAGTGGTGCACACACCACAGATTTGGCTCCTGAGATCTCACCTGTCCACTTCTGAATTTCCAGGGATAGGATCAGGAGTGGCCCCAGTTACCAGAGGTGACCTGAAGTCCGTAAGTCCATATCCACATTGGATATTCAGTTTTCTCTCTCTCCTCTCTCTCCTCTCTCTCCTCTCTCTCCTCTCTCTCTCTCTCTCTCTCTCTCTCTCTCTCTCTCTCTCTCTCTCTCTCTTCAGCGTCACATCCAACTGCTTGGTTCTGGGCAAATCAGTTTTGAAAAACAGTGAACGTGGATTAAGGGCACTTCAGGAGCTTTCGGGAATATACTGCGCATTGTAGTTTACACAGTAGATTGCAAGGAACAATAGTCTCTCTGTCTTCTTAGCTAGGAGGAAGACAGGTTGAGCACAGGTATATTCAAACTACTTTAGCCGACACAAATCTTACTGGTGACTGCAAAACTGTAACAAAATAACAAATACAACTAACCCATCAAACAGTTCTGAAATGGCAGTCTCTACAAACTAACCACAAAGAGACAGAGTGATGTCTCACAAGTTAAGAGTAATTGCTACTCTTTTGGAGTGCCTGGATTTGGTTCTTAGCAACACATGTAACTCCTACATCTTCTGGCCTTCCAGGGACACCTGAATACATGTGTGTATCACAAACCCACACACACAACGGAAACTTAAAAAACAGAAAAATAAATATAAATAAATGGTAGAACTACATTTACACTATGAAGACAGTAAAGGAACTTAGTTTGTCCTTGTTTGACCCCAGAGCCTTAAAACATCTGCATTCTATGAACATACAGAAAAAGCAGTTGTTTTACATATGAAATGGCTGAAGCAAACCACATGGTCCTGGTAATGTCCTCACAGGAACTTGACTATCTCACACCTTAGAAAAAGGTCAGCTTTTTTCAGATTTGACCCCAAACTGGCAATCATGTCTCCAACTTGAAACATAAACTGGTAGAGTTCCTTCCTTCATTTTTAACCTCTTGGCTGTGTATTTCATTGGCTCCTGTAACCTAGATTTGTTATGTCTAAGAAGAATCCTTACTATGGTCAAGCCTATGGTTCCTCAACAGTGGCACAGCTTTCGTTGTCGTGTGCCCTCCTTCCCAGTGCCCAGTCACTAATTAAGTAAACTGGTACAAAATAGAACAGCACTGTTAAGTTGATGGATGTCACATACTTTTACAAGTAACAAATGTGGTCTTATTCATTCAGAGGACTCACAAAGCGTCTCATTACTCCATCATGTGTGTTTCGGGTACACAGCATGCTGTCACAAGACAATCTCACTTTTCCTCCCTTCAAGGCTTAGTTGATTGACTACACAAGGCTGGGACTTGCAGATACAGAGAGCAACTGTATTTGATTTTATTGTTTTAGATAAAAGTGTTTTCTTAACTCTTGAGTCACTTGAACCAGATAGCCCTCAGTAAGAATATGTTCCATCCCAACAACGATGGTGTAAACAAGTGTCAAACACAAACCAGCATTGCACGTCCCTATAGTGTTTGGTTTACAGTTATTGTCTTGCAGATCAAACCCCAGCACATCTGAACTTATTGCACAGGAAACCTCAATATGAATTCAAATGAGACTTTTCCAATACAAAAATATCTTTCTCCGCTCCATTTAAAAATTATGTTTTAAAATGAATTCTAGAACTTGTGTGATTCTTAAATCAAGCAACTTTCTGACAGTGAAACTATTTGCAAATGGTTGGTTTTCTTAAGTGAGAACACCAATCTAATGTTAAGTTTAAATAGTGAATGAGGTGTGAGATCTGTCTCACATTAAAAGATGATCAAGTCAGAGAATTATAGGTGAGGATAAGTGGGGTCCAAAGCAGTTATACATCTGAGGTGCTAACCTTGACATAATCTTTGTATTTTGCATATAATAAAGTTAATACACAGACTTACCTCACTCCTTTGGAAAACATAGTTTATTTCTTTGGCTCTTAAACCTAGAAAAAATAAGAAAAGAAAGATAAATTATGTTGTAAATTAGCAGGTATAGACACAGCATAAATTATTAGTATCTTTTATGAGTGATGAAATTAACAAATTATTGGAAGTCAGTGGACACTGGCAAAGAGCTTATAGTAATTTTCTTGGAAAGCTCAACAACTGCTCCAAAAGTGAGAAAACTAGACTTATAAAGAGAACTAATTGGATCTTGCCTCACATTGTATGGGAAACACCAATAACTGGATACTTGATATCTATACTGATACAAATAAATCAGGAAAGGTAGGTTGCAAATCAGAAAATTTAAGCGAAGTGGAAAATAGTCCTTATGACTCTATCCAAAAGTCAGAATTATATGCTATTTTAAGGGTACTAAGGGATTTTAAAGACCCTCTCAACATAGTTACTGATTCACAATATGCAGAATGAGTTGTTTTGCATATTGAAACCACTGAATTTATACCCAATGATACAGAATTGACTTTATTGCTTTTTCAGGTACATAACACACATCTCATAAGAGTCTGCCAGATCCTCTAGCATAAGGTAATACACAAACCAATTATTGACAGGAAATGTAATGAAACCCTCAGAATTTCATTGAAAACATCATGTCAGTAGCAAATGTTTTAAAAGGACTTTTAAAATACATACAACAAGCCAAGGAGAACATTAGAAAATCTTCTACTTTTTCTTTGTACAACCAAACACCACTACCTGCAGGAAGTAACCCAAAGGGTATGCAAAGGAATGAAATCTGGCAGATGGATATGTTCCATTTTAAAGAATTAAAAAAAACTAAAATATGTACACAACACCATTGATACCTATTCAGGTTTTTAATGGACAACTGCCTTGCATTCAGAAAAGGTTAATTTGGTAATCATACATTTATTAGAAGTTATGACCATCATGGGAAAGAATGACAAATGAAGAAGACAATGTTTCAGCATATGTCTCTAAGACATTATATTACTATATAAAACATGTACAGGTATACCACACAATCCTACAGGTCAGGCAGTTTAATCTTTCTAGATTAAATTGAACTACAAAGGATATGTTGAACAAACAGAAAGGGATGATAAACATCCCTAGAAATTGATTGCAACTTTGAATTTTTTTAATGTCAATGAGAAAAAGGAACAACAACTGCAGAGACACTAGACAATAGAAAAACTTCTGTATTAAATAGCTGGTGTACTTTAAGGATGTATTGACCTCAGAATGGAAACTAGATGTACTATGTTGAAGGAAGGATTTCACTCCTTTTTCTACAGGAGAAGAGAAGCTATAAATACCATCAAAATTATCAATATTCAATTTGAAAAGGACAAACCTCTTGATACAGAGAAATGACAGGTCACTCACTGAGGTGACAATTCTACAAGTTGTAAGGAAACCTCACAATGGTTGGGTCAGGATTCTGTTCTTGTCTTTGCAGGAAAATAGAAAATATCCATCTTTGAGAGGTCAAGAGACCTTAGACATATAGATGCCTAAAGAAAAAAAGATAGCTATCCATAAAGAATCAACAAATAAAGAAAAATTTGGTTTATGATACCAATCTTCCATGCAGGGTAAAAATCTCACTCCCCAAACATAAATATCTCCTTACTTTTCAATATAATAGTAGGCCCAACTGACTTAAAATCAAAGCTGGCTTTGGAGTTGGTCTGCGGCTCAGTACTTCTATAAATCAAAGCATGTTGTTAAATAAAAAACTCAGAATTTCTGTCTCATATCAGGAGAGTCATCTGGTGTGGGACCAAAGAAAAATAAAAATTTTGGGAATAAGGTTATTATCAAAACACTGTTTTCCAGAATTTGATTTCTTCCTATACTTATTTTCTTCTCTATGGTACCTTTCTTTCAATGTCTACTTAAATTTAAACTTTCTGTTTTTATATGTATAATGTTTAACTTTTCTACACTGAATAATAAAAATTTCTACACTAATCTTTGAAGTCTCTGGGAAGAAGATGGTGCCACACAACAAGGATTCTACCTGGTTCATATGATGCCATTCAGCTGATAACAGCACTTAAAGATTGGTTTTGGATTATAAACTATTCAGAACAATTTTGAGGTGGCTAGATGAGATCTTTCAGTTTTAAATACTACTCTAGCCAGGACATGTAACAAGCCCTAAACTTTTCCATTACACATAGACTGGACAAAAAAAATTGATATAGCCACCACTCCCAGGTCTTGACAATTAACCCAAATTTTTCTTTCAAGATCCCCTAAAGATACTGTTGCCCCCAGACAGCAGGAAGTAAATTTAAGAATACAATACCCATATTCACAAGAGGTAGGGTGGATGGTTTTTGATCATTCAATGGATTATAGATATTATAGATATGATAGGATAAAAGGATAGATTATTGAATCTACTCTGAAAAGAAAAAGGGAGCATAAAGTTATGATAAAATAAAAAGTAGACTACTTAATGTACTTTTAAAAAGCAACTACTAATTTTAAATGTTTTATATTGAATTGGACTTTTTTATATTATATACAAATTTTGTATATTGATACAAATTTGAGATTAATTTTGTTAAAACATGGTACATTCATTTCTAATCTTGTTCAAGGATACAGCTCATTTAACAATGTAAGGGAAATTTCTAGTCCTTGAAAATTATTATTACCAACTCTTTAGGATAATAAGGAAATGCAGGTTAGTAATTAGTTACCTATTATAATTGAACTTGCAGTCACATTGGGTATATTTTCAAGGTCAAACAAAGATATATTTTAGATAGACAAGTCATCTTCAAACACTTCAGAGATCTAGAGAATATGGCATTTAAGATGTTTCAATAGCTTAGGCTCTTTTTCATGACAATCAGACATGTCCATTTCTGGAAACACCAATCTATTTCAGAGAATATAATGAGCACCAAAGAAACTCCACATGGAATTTATTATTTTTATGGCAAAAGTAAGCCATTGGGCAAGAAAATGCCCTGTTTTGACTACTAACACTATGCTGTCCTATTGGACAAGCAGGACACAAAAGAAAGTTACTGCCAAACATTGTCAAGACAAAGCAGGACAGCCCTTCACAATATCCTGCTCCACAGAAAAGTCTGTTAGATATGCTAGGCCTGTATTCTGAAGATGGATGTCTCAGCATTACAGACGAACTGGGTGACTGTCTAGGAAGACTACTGTTTCTGTTCTTACTCACATTTTTTGGAAGTCACTTGCTTGTACTTCCTGCATACTCAATATTATTTCCTTCTTGAGTCTCTGAGGGAGGTGAAGACTAGATAGTTAAATATTTTTTTTGTTGTTGTTGTTTATCTGATGCAGAAAGCAAGCTATGATAGGAAGTACAAGACTTTGGACTCACCAAGATAGGATAGATATGGAGCATTTTCTCTGAATTTGTCAAATGCAAATGGACTAGACATTATTGATTCATTTATGGCCTGTATATATTGTATATAGTTATTGTACTTATTGTATATAGTGTTTTTTTTAGTTATAGCCTTCTATTTTATTTTAGACAAAAAGGGAAAATGTAGTGGCATGGCATTTCATTTGTATTTTAATAACTAATGCTTGCCTGAAGATCAGAAAAGTAAAACAGCCACACACCTTTAATCCCAGTTGCCTCATTAGCTTGCCATAGATACCAGGTGTTAGTGGTGCATTCCCTTAAACCCATAACTAGAGAGGGTTATAAAATACGGGGAAACAACTCTCAATCTTAGTCTTACTTTGAAGTTTCCTGAAGGAAGGATCACCACTTTCAGACTGAGATCAAGGTAAGAGCCAGTGGCTGGCTGCTTTGCTTTTCTGGTCTTTGGGTTGAACCCCATATCTGTCTGTGAGTTTTTATTAATCATGCCGCACTAAAGCATGGGCAATATAGAAAGATAACAGAGTTCAGTATTAGCTGTGCTTCCAGGCTCCCATTTGTTCCTCAGGCTATGTTCCCTACACAGGTGGATACAATGCATCATGGCAAACAACACAGCATCCATAGCTTCCCTTTCAGCCGACACATCAATGACACAATGCCTTCCACCTTATAAGGAGTGTGAGCTGATGTGTGTGCGTGGTGTATAGAAGATCCTTGTTGATACTGTTGCAATTATTAGGATATGTTATATTCCAAATTCATTTTTCTGGAGTTCTATAAATTGTTTGGCTTAGGTTTCAGAATAAAGTTCTTGTAATTATTTTTATATTCATATCGTCGTGTTGTAGGAGGCATTCTTAAGATATGAACAAGTCCAATAACTCATCAGATCTTGCCTTTTTTCTCTTAAGTGGGAGCATGGTGGGAGTGGGAGGCCAAGAGGAAAAGGGGAGGAAGGAAAGGATGTGGGAAAAATATATAGCTCAGTAAAAACAATAAAAAACAAACAGAAAGGTGTTAACACTTAAAAGCACAACATGAACCTTAAGCAAAAATGACTACATCACTTAGATTTTCTGAGTGTGGACTTTTTCTTGTGAAAGAGAAAAACAGAAATAAAATATCCTTTGAAAAGTATATAACATAAAACCCAAACATCAAGGGCTTTCCCAGTGAATATGCCTCAATATATAGCTTGGGATTCAATAATGCCCCAAACAGTTCTCAGTTGACTTGTGAGCGAAGGGAAGACTGATCACTCTTACATGCCTTTGGATATGGTTTGAGTGTGTCTCCCAGAGTTTCACATGCCAGAGGTCTGGCTTCCAGTGTGACAATATTGAGAAGGGAAGGCAAGAACCTGAAATAGAAAAAGAAAATTTGTACCCTGGCAAAGCATGTATGGGCAGCCCATATATGGTGGTTCTGTTAAATTTGTCCATATTTGGGTTTCATGGTCCTAATTTATGAGGACAACTGACCAAGTCTCTTCCTCAAGAAGACACCAGATCTCATTACAGATAGTAGTGAGTTACCATGTTGCTGCTGGGAATTGAACTCGGGACCTTTGGAAGAGCAGGCAGTGCTCTTAACCGCTGAGCCATCAAGAGCCTAGTCACACATAACTGGAACACTGCAGGCATCCCATTTGGAAGAAACTCCTTTAGCTCTAGAGGAGGTCGCAATCATTCCTTGCAAGAACGAGCTGTGAGAGAAAGAGCCCGTCATGCCCTGAGTCTTTCTGGCATTGCATCTTACTGTAAATTGTTCTCTTGCATTTGCAGTATCAGTCATCATGATATGTGGCATAGCCAGAAATCCCTCAAGCTCTACATATGTCAATCACTCAGCTCTAAATGCGTGAACTAAATACTACTCTGCTCCTGACATACCATCATTGTCAGACACTTCATTAAAGCAACAAAAATTAATTAACAGGCCTATGACAAAGAAGTTAGGACTCTCAGAGATATGTATTTATATCTCAAGTTATGGTAGCAGGGGACACCAACTCACCGAGGTGGAAGACAAGTTATCACAATTACACCAAGGAACAATGCAATCCACAAATAGGATTGCATCACAGAGTTATCAAAAAGCAGTCCTTAAACAAGGTGCACAGAGCACTTTATGGCTCCATTTTTATGAAGAAAAAGGTGAAAATTCTAAACAGGAAACCCTCCTTTACCTGCCTCCTTTGTTCTGTTTGACATAAAATTAGGCAGGAGAGACACTTTCACTTTCAAACTCTCATCTGAACTGGACAAGATGGATTTGAAGATTCTGACAGGGGTTGCTCTAAGTCTTCCAAGGTCCCTGCTACCCTCCCCTCACTCTGTACCCTTTAATCCCCCTGCTTCCCTTCCCTGGAGTAAACTCTCTGCTCTGGCTCTGCCCAGACGATACTTCACACTGTGGCAGCTCAGACATTCTCCTCCCTACCCTTGCCCCAAACCACTTCATGAGTTCTTTTTTCTGTGTGTTGAATCTTCTGAGCAGCAGTATTTGAGGAGGTTAGATTCTTTTTCCTCCTATATTAGACAGACACACACACACAGATCGCTTGCTATCCCACGTACAAATATTCACGACTCAGACACACATACCAAGCATGAGGCCTGGGGCTGAAATGAGAGCTCGGAGGTCCAGAGTAAGCAGAGTTCTTCCAGAGGACCAAGGCTCTGCTCCCAGCACCTATATCTTGCAGCTCATAAATGTCTGTTATTCTAGCTCCAAGGAACCCAAGGCTCTCTTCTGGCTTCTACAGGCACCTGCATCACACAGCAGACACAGAGACACACAAAGAAAAAAAATAAGGGCTGAGGAGATGACTCAGCAGTTTAGAACACATATTGCTCTTGTAGAGAGGATCAGTTTCCCTTCCCAGCACTCACGTGGCTGTTCACAACCATCTGTAACTCCAGTCCCAGGGGATATAATGCTCTCTTCCCATTTCTGAGGGCATCATGTATCCATGTAGTACACACACACACACATAAAACTCTCATACATATAAAATAAAATAAACAAAATTTAAAACACATTTAAAAATAAATATTTTTTAAATGTTAAAAACCAAGGGTCCTGAGGAGGGCAAATTTGGAGCCAGTTCTACGTGAGCACTTTGAGATCCCTCCAGCCCTGGAAACTTGCTGTATGTAGGCAAGAAAGCAGAGTTGTGAAGGGTGGTACTAACAACTGAGGAGAGTCAGCATTTATACACTACAGAGGAAAACCAGCACAGACTGGATGACCAGTTTCCATGGAAGGCACCTTACCATGAACACGTTCTCTTGCAAAAGCAGAGCTCAAAATAGCCCCTGTATTTGCCAAGAGATCATCTCATGTTACATGCTTACCAGCAGCACAAAATAAAGTGTAGCCACGTGGCACCATGAGCAGTTGAGTTAGTGTTCCCAAGCTCATACTGTGTCCTGATGTGCAAGAAGAAGCTCTACCACCCAGGCTTTTGAAATCACTTCACAGCAGATTTCTTAGTGTGTTCCTATTGAGAACAACTAACAACTGCAAGGGAACTTAAATAACCTCATAGCTAAGGGGTGGGTTGTTTTATTAGATACACTGCTTAATATAGCTATAATGATATGACTTTACATCCATCTTTTAAACTTTCATTTTCAATGCTAAACTTCAATCTACTTTTTCCAGTTATAGCTTGTCAATAGCAGTCACCAAAGCACACAAAAAAATCTGGTAGTTTGAATAAGAATGGCCCCTGTAGGCTGACATACTTGAGTTCTGCACGTGGACCTGTTTGGGAGGGATAGGGAGGTGTGCCTTGTTGGAGGCAGTATGTCATTAGGGGTGAACGCTGAGGTTTCAAAAGATCACATCACTTCCATTTAGCTCTCCCCTCCCCCTTCTCCCTCCCTCCCTCTGCATTATGCCTGTGGACCAGTACTCCAATGTCGTGCTTGCTGTCATGTTCTCTGCCATGATGGTCATGGACTCTAACCATCTGGAACTGTGATTCCCAATAAGCATTTTCTTTTATAAATTGTCTTAGTCGTGGCATCCCTTCACAGCAACAGAGAAGCAACTGTAACAAATGGGCTTCCAGACCAATAAAGCAAAGCATGGGACTTTCTCATTTTACACCTGAAAAAAACAGGAGTTGTCTGAGGAACTGGGCTGCCAAGACCCTGCTCTCTTGAGTGTCTTGCTGCCACGTCCAGACATATGGTCAGGATTCAGATGCCAAACTTCCCATTAATATAATTTTCTCCCATGTTCACTCAAATAAGAGAGATAGCTGAGATTATATAAGGAAAGATACTCCATCACGCCATTTGCAATGAAAAGAGATGAGCCTCAGGAATGTTCTGAAACTCCTTGGAGAGACAGAAGCTACATTTGTTCTCATGACAAAGGGTTGCTAGCCCCACAGCTTCTGGTAAGTAGGATTACCCTAAGACTAAATCACATGGACCTGCACATGACTGAAAAATGAAATAGTTCATCTCCATGTGACTGCAAGGTAATATTTTTCTTTATTGTCCAGAAACTATCACAGTGTATATATTTTTTGTTTCATATTTTTTCATTCAAAAAAGAAATAGAAGCCACTGGTGGGATTAAAAAAAAAAAACAAACTATGTAGACCCTTAGAAAACTGTGGCCATGGCTTAAGTTAGTCAGTACAGAGTGACTGCATGTTCCATGGACCTTCTGAGATAGATGCAAGAAAAATGAGAAATAATGTTTGAACAATAACTTAGAAATGAATGTTCATCGCTGTATGTTCACTGTAGCATAAAGAGGGAAATTAACTTTCTGCCCAGGATTTGATGAAGGAATGAGTGTGGCATTCCTTCACAATGGAATACCGCTTGCCACATACAAGGAACGGTGTACTATGTGACTGAACTTCAGAAACACACCAAGATATAAGGCAGGCAATGGTACTACATGCCTTGAATCCCAGTTCTCGGGAGGCAGAGGCAGGCAGATCTCTGTGTGTTTGAGGCTAGCCTAGTCTACACAGTGAGACTCTGTTTCAAAAAGAAAAATAACAGGTGTGGGAGAGACAACAACAATATTCTTGGACTTGCTAAGACCAAATAGGAAGATTACACGTGTATCTTCTAATCATTTTATTTTAATAGAGCCAGGAGCTCCTGCCTCAGCACTCAGTCTGCAACTGGAGTTCTGCCATGAGTTCGAAGTCTGCCTGGGCTACAGAGTGAGAGATTTTATCTTCTCCTCTTCCAATACCAGAACACCTTTTATGTTCAAAATACTGGAAAAAAGAAGACAACAAATAAAAGCTCCAGAATTACTAAGAGAACTGAGACTTAGTTGTTCCAGAAGGAAAACTATGTTTAGGAAAAATGTGTTAACTAGACTATAAATCGACAAAATATAGGTCAGTGTAAGCTAGTGTTTTCAACATAAATAAGGCTTCATTTAAAGCGGTGTAACACACACACACATACACACACACACACACTATAGTGTTCCCAAGAGCTGTTAGAACCTTAGGTAAGTCCATCCTGTAATGACTGTCTCAAAACCTGTCTGAAGGGTCTGCAGAGAGCTGACAGGAAGACATCAGGGCAAGTTCGTTACAGAAGCGTCACCAACTGTGCAGACTATTCTTGGAAAACCCTGGCCCAGGACACTACAACACGCCAATCACTCGATGTCAGAGGGGTCCTAGACAGATGCCCGGATATCCTAGGGAGTCACAGGTTGCAGGTGCCAGGGGCACAGGTGGATTCGGGTCCATCGCGGGGCACAGAATGTCACCCTCCACCTGGCAGGAAAGGCACAAGGCAGGGCTTACCACGCTGCGAACGTTCCCCAGAAACCGCTCGCGGAGAAATTTCACACGCCTGTTCAGCGCTAGCCTGCGGTCCTACCTTCCTCCTCCACCATCTCCAACAGGTCCGGGTCACCCATCTTTGCCAGCTCGTTGAAGGCACTGATGAGCGAGACGCAGGTGGTGGCTGACCGCTGCGACAGGCGGCGAGATGTCTTGGGGCGGAGGCTGAAGCGAATGGTGGGCCGCCGGTATTGCAGCTGTGGCTCTTGATACCAAGTGGAGCTCTCTCTCCTAAAGGAGCTAGAACGATTTGAGTCCAGACCCAGGGACATCCGGGGCGCCAGAGACACCCGAGGCACTAGGGACACCCTGGGAACCGGGGGCACCCTGGGAGCCAGGGACGATCTGGGAGTCGGGGACGATCCAGGAGCCAGGGATGATCCAGGAGCCAGGGACGATCCAGGAGCCAGGGACGATCCAGGAGCCAGGGACGATCCAGCAGACAGGGACGATCCAGGAGCCAGGGACGATCGAGGTGCCAGGGACAAGCGGCCCTGAGCCAAAGATTCAGAGCCGCTCCTCACACTGGGCTTCCTCTCCAGGCGGTACTTGGCCTGACTCTTGCGGTGGCGGCGACCCATCAGACTGTCAGCTACGCCCTTGTGTTTTATTGTCCGGGAGCGATAGTGAGGCATTGTCCCTTCCAAGTTGGGATCTAAGAACTCCTCCCCATCCTGGCTAGACTGGCCTAAATGGCTTTCTTGATTCTGTTGCCCATCCACTTGCTCCTCCAGTTCATGCTGGCGACTCCTCCTCTTCCCTTTGGACCTTCCTGGCACCTTGCTTTTAGAGACCACCAATTCGCTGATCTCTCCGGACAGCCCAGGTTCCTCCCCAGTTTCTGTCTCCTGGACTCTCAGAGTCTCCATCCTTATTCCTCCCTCCTCCAGGATTTCCACCTGGTCCTTTCCTGAGCCCCTCACCAAGCTTACATCCCTGGAGACTCCAGGACTTTCCACCCTTCTTGCCCTCTCAGGGACCCTCAACATGTTTAAATTCATGGAGGCTTCAAGCACCTCCACCTGTCTTGCCTCCTCAGGGGCCCTCACAGAATCTACATCTTCTGGGACTCCTCGCCCCTCTACCCTACCAGCTTCCCTGGATACCCCAGCCCTGGCGGGCTCCAGGGAGTCTTCTGGCTCCTGTCCTTCCTCCATGCGGGCGTAGAGTTTCCTGTTTTAGTCGGTCCACCCACTCAGGGCAGGTACCCACAGTTCACCATCTCCAACCCTTCTCACAGCCTCTCTGGTGGGCACCCTCGGCCTGGCCTAATCGTAGCCCTGGTTCCCCTGGAGACAGGCTACCGCAAAATGTTCTTCACAATCGGGGCTTATTTTCTGTCGGGAGAGAAAAAGAATCACTTCCCTTAAAGCAGCTCACTCCTTTTGTGACGTCTTCTCCAACGTTCCAGAAGACTCTTGGCTAGGTATCTACTGCAACTTGGGCATTGATTCTTTAACGGACACTTCCTTCAAGCTGAGCCAAGGGCATTTTTTACAGTCGGGAGAAGGTCAGACACAGGGGCTAAGTCTGAGTCCGTCTCTTCCTTCAGAGTTGAACAGGTATAAGCTAACTAGCACTAACTGTAAGCCAACTGTGCACTCACGATGCGTGTGATGGGGGAAATGGAAATATGGGAACATCTTTCACAGTCTAGATGATGCGGGGAGCACTCCACTGAGCACTCTGGGAAGAATGTTTACCTGCCTCTTACTGAAAATGAAGCAGGGGAATTCCCAGGGAACAAATTGCTCTGAACTGGGCCTGGTAGCCCCGCAGTAATTAGGAGATAAGAATTACTGTTGTCGGGTGATGTGGTCAGACACCCGAGCAGCGGACATATCAACATCTAGGGCTAGATTGGGGTGATTTAAGAATTAAGAAACAATGGACCAAAAAAAAAAAAAAAAGAAAGAAAGAAACAATGGACCAAAGAAAACTTTGTGTGACTTGGTCGTGTGGCTGCTGTGTGTTCCTCTGTTCTAGGGATGTTCTGAAATGGAGAATCACCTTTTAGAGATTCCCGAGATGGCTAGGATTTTGCTGCAGGGCTGTGCTCTCGGCTTCTGTACACAGTTCAGATTTTCTCCCGCTGAGCTTCACAGAACATGTCATGCATGACCAAGCAATTCAAGGCTTTGAACAATTCTGTCCTTGATGTATTTAGCAGTTGTATTTGAAGAGTGGATGTGTATAAGTGAGCAAAAGATGTGCTTGTCTATGAATGAAAAATAACAAAGTAAATAAAAAGAAAAAGAAAGGACATGATTGCTCCTTGGTATGGCGGAGGAGGAAGTTTATTATAGATAAAAGGGACAGTGTAGGTCCAGATAAGGACATCTGGGAGAATCCAGAGAGGACACAAGCAGACTGAGCTGGGCCATTCAGGGAGAGGAGGAAGGGAGATAAAGGAGAAGATGGGAGTCAGGTGCAGCAGCCAGGAGTCGTATAACCAAAATATCTGGATTATATAGGGAAGAATCTCTGGCGGAAAAGCAGCCCAGGCCCTGGGCCAGAGAGCTCAGGGTCTAGGGTGGGATATGAGAGCCATACCCTGTAACAGGTGGGGACTGAGGGATGCTGGTCTGCTTTGATGTGTTAAATAGCCACCTCAGCCATTTGTCCTGGGTTTGAAACATAACATCCTGTAATCATAATTATGACAGAACTGTGTGGTCCTTACTCATTGATCTCCCCTTAGACAGCACATTTATCTTTTTCTGGCAACAATGCTATCAAAGAGCCCAAAGATGTGTCTCCTAGGTGGTTCTAAATCCAGACATGTCACTCAGGATTAACCTTGACATTATGGGGCTGTCATTAGTCCTAGTTTCACTTCAGATAAAATATCCTGACATAAAGTAACTTAGAGGAGAAAGGCTTTCTTTGAACCTACAGGATTTTGTCATCATAGCAAAGGATACATAGCAGGAACTTGAACCAGCTTGTCACATCCCAATTGAAACAAAGTAAAGACAGCTTCTTGGAACTTTCCACCAGCTTAGCCCCAGCGAGATGGTGTTAAGGTTATTTGTTCAGTGGGAATTCTGGTGGAGCAAGCTTTAAGGGCCTGGTTGCCACCTGCCCCATGACTTTCTGGTGGTGGTATTCCTACTGATGAGCGTCAGACCTCCTGGGCTTAGCAGCTAAAGGCTTCAAAGACTGGTGTTGGCCAAAGACTATGGAGAGACTTGGGATTTCCTGGGTGGCTGAAAACTGTCTCACTTCCTCTCATTTACTTATTCCTTCCAGATCTCTCTGATGGCATTTAATGACTTCAGATACTGGTAGCTCATTGGTTTACTAGTTAAGTTTCCTGCTAAAAATACAGACAGGTGTGCCTCTTTCATAGGCTTCATAGTCCAGGACAGCCAGGTTTCAGATGTAACTTCAGAGGTTCAGAGTTTTAAAATTTCCTTAATTGTCTCCTAAAACATTCATAGCTGTTAACCTGATGCCATAGCCTTTTGCTTTGATGCCAAACAAATGTAAATCTGTTCCAGGTTTCTTACAGACACCTGCAGATTCCTGGGAGAAGTTCTGTTGCTGTATCAAGAAATCTGGTCTGGTGAAAACTAAGTCTCCAGGGCCTATTTTGACTCTGCCCATTTTTGAGCTTATCTTACAGGTCACACGTGCGGTCAAAGCCAAGGAAAAACTGCAAAGGATTTCCCAGATATGCCAGTGCCTGCACCATCTCCTGGGACTTCACCATTGGTACCACCTCTCCAGACTCAAATGGGTACCTACCTAGCAACTGGAATTTGTTTTTAAAAAAATATTTTTTGCATACTACTATCTTTTTTTAATTGATTTTTATTGAGCTCTACATTTTTCTCTGCTCCCCTCCCTGCCTCTCCCCTCCTTTTCAACCATATTCCAAGGTTCCCATGCTTCCAATTAACTCAGGGAATCTTGTCTTTTTCTATTTCTCATGTAATTAAAAGCTATGTATGTCTCTCTTAGGGTATTCATTGTTGTCTAGGTTCTCTTGGATTGTGATTTGTTGGCAGATTTTCTCTGTTTTATATTTTAAAAGTACTTATTACTGAGTACCTGTGATAATTGTCTTTCTGGGTCTGGGTTACCTTACTCAAAATGATGTTTTCTAGCTCCATCCATTTGCCTGCAAAATTCAAGATGTCATTTTTTTCTGCTGTGTAGTACTCCATTGTGTAAATGTACCACATTTTCCTTATACATTCTTCAGTAAAGGGGCGTTTAGGTTGTTTCCAGGTTCTAGATATGACAAACAATCCTGCTACAAACATAGTTGAGCACATGTCCTTGTGGCACGATTGAGTATCCTTTGGATATATACCCAAAAGTAGTATTACTGGGTCTTAAGAAAGGTTGTTTACTAATTTTCTGAGATCGCCACACTGACATCCAAAGGGGCTGTACCAGCTTGCATTCTTTGCAGCAATGTAGGAGTGTTCCCTTTACTCCACAACCTCTCCAGCATAAGCTGCCATCAGTGTTTTTGATCTTGGCCATTCTTACAGGTGTAAGATGGAATCTCAGGTATCTGGTTTTAAAAGGCACATCTGCTCTCATGTCCTGTTCATTCACCCTTACCTTGTCTGTACAACCAGGGCACGTCTCTGTCCCACTCTTTCTGGCAGTGAGTCACCCTTCCCATGGCTAGCCCTGTTCATAGGGCTAATGATAGCAATCTATTTTTTTTCTCCTAGCAACCTGCATTCTCAGCTCTCTCAAGAAACAGATGTCTAAGGTCTCCAGGATGGCAGTTAAGCTGATGCCCCTCCACCCAACACTGCGCTAAGCATGAGCCCACTGGCTTCCAACTCTCCCACTCCCCACATCATCCTATGACTGCAGGAAACAGTCAGACATGAACAGATGCTCATGTACCCAGAGTCTGGGATGTTTAGGTGAAAGCTTCACCCCAACCCCTCGCATCTATATATCCAAAGAGTCTGGAATGTTTAGGTGGAAGCCTCACCTCAGCCCCTGGAATCCATATATCCAAAGAGTTTAGAACATTCAGGTGGAGGCTCCACCCCAAGCCCTCTAGACTTCATCCTGAAAAAGGCCACCATTGGCGGCTCCCCTCCAGAGGGCAGTAAAAGCCTCCACCTTGTGGTTTCCCCTTGTGGTTTCCTCAACGTCCTCTGGGACTACCCAGGAATGCTGTGCTCAGAATCAACCTGGATTTATTAACTCAATTTTATGGGCTTATTGAATCAGCAGAGGTGGATTTCCATTAACCAGGATATAAATTTAACAATGAAGATTAGGATATAGGGCTGGAAAGGAGGTCATGATAGCAACAAAGAAGGGAGGGACTGGATCCATACAAGATGTGACCTCCAAAGGCAGCTTTGGGCACCAAGGAAGATACTCCT